TTTTTTTTAATTTAAATTTTTTAGAAAATGAATTTTTATTACTAAAATTATATTTCAATATTTTACCAAACGATTATTACAAGTATTGACTGTTCTCACTTAATTTGCTTACATCTGTCGTTTCATAAATTAAAAATTTCTCCATCAGAGAAACTTGCCCATGAAGTTCTAAAGAATTAAAGAAACATAGTTGCCTTTTTACGCCGTTGCGATGTTATCCATGCACCTTTTTACCCTCAACTGCATTGGGGAGCACAATTGGATAGCTTCCGGTGTATAAAATTCGACTTTAATTAAATTAATCGATTGAATTAATTAAATTTAATAAATTGATTAGTTATTAAATTAATTTTAGTTGGTTATTGAAAATAAATTTTAAAAAATTTAAAAATTAAATTAATAAAAAATTAACTTAAAATTAAAATATATGAAATTGTCAATTTTATTTTAAGTTATTAAAGTTTTTAATTTAATATTTTGATATTTTAATATTTTTATTGGATGATTTTATTTAATTTATTTTAAATATAAAAAATTTAAAATTTAAAATATAATTAAAATTAATATATTTTATTATTTGATTGATTAAAAAAATTAACCAAATCGATCAAATTAATTTTAATCAATTAATTTTTAAAATTAAAAATTTTAATTTAGTTAACAAAAATAAAACAAAATAATTCAATTAATGTGATTTGAATAATTTAATTTAAATTAATTGAATTGATCGAATGAACACCTCCAAATGTTGGTGAAGGTTTTCCTTCTCTAGTATAGAGAGAAAAGCATCCAATGGTTCATTGTTTCCTTAGTATAGTGATTTTCTTGTCTACTCGTGTGATTTGTTGATAAGTACATAACTTTTTTGTTAAAGTTATCAAAATTACAAATTCAAATTTTGATAATCTTAACTATAAAAAAGTAAATGAATAGAGAATGTTTTTTTTTTTTTTTTTACATTGAATGTTTAAGTGTCTATATAGATGGGTAATAAAATTAGTTCTAGTGAAATTAAAAATAACAAAAAAAAAATTAGTTACTGTAATAATGAGATTGATTGTTGTAGTAATAAAATTTAAAATCAATTATTCAATATACTTTTGAATACAAATATAATGATGATAGTGAGATGAATTATAGTGTAAAGAGAAAATTATCATTAAAGATATTATATTAAAAATTACATATAATGAAAATTTTAAATTATTTAATATTTATAAAATTAATAAATTATTAAAATTTATTAAATTATATTTATGTCAAATAATAATATTGTTAATAAATAATTAAAATTAATTATTTAATCTAGTAAAAAATAAATTATTTGAAATTTTTTAAGTTAAAAAAATTTTAAATTAAAATAAAATAAATAAATAAATGAACAAGTGTTGAAAAATAAAAGAATAAGACGGTTAAAAGTGGAAAAAAAATGCATTTTAAACTTGCAAATTTTCATTAAACCTTCATTGGTCTAGTTAAGAGGTGTCAAATGGACTGTGCTGAGTTGGCACAATCCACAATCCACTTAAATATTAGTTCATGTGTTAATAGATTATGTTGGCTCAGTATTATTTTTTAACGTGTTTTGTTAGCAAAATCCATAAAAACTAAGAGTAAAATCCAGCACGACACGAAGCTTAAAATTTTCATGGGTCGTGCCGTTAGGGGTGAGTAAATGGTCAATTCGATCGATTCGGTTTAAAAAAATCAATAACCGACTTAATCGATTTTCATTTAACAAATAACTGAACCGATCAAATATTATTAAATAACCGACCATAACCGAACCGATCAAAATCGGTTCGATTCGATCAGTTCGATTAAATAACCGATTTTTTTTATCATTTTTCTTCTTATTATGAATAATTATTTAACCATAAATTCAATTCAATAAAATTCAAACTTTAGTATCATTCAAACTAAATTACTAAAGAATTTAATAATTTCAACAATATTTTACCAAAAAAAATAAATAAAAATATTTATCTTAATTTTTTATTTTTAATTATTAAAAAGTCGATTAATTCGATCAGTACGGTTATCAATTTTAAAAACTAAAAATCGATCGAATTAATCAATTTAATCGATTTAAAAAATTGATTATAATTAAAACCGAATAAACCGAACCAATTCAACCGAATTCACTCGATTTTGATCGATCTAGTTGATTCAAACTGACTTTTGCTCACCTCTACGTGCCGTGCTTGGCACCACACTATTTTTCATGCCGAGATGGGTCAAATATAATCCATTAATAGTTTTTCAAACTTTTAAATTTTTTTTAAATTAATCTATTATTAAAAGTAACATACGAAGTTAAATAAAAGTAAATTGTCATAATTTATGTAGTTCGACAAGATGCTTACATCTACAAAAAAAGGTAATAGAATCCATTAAATAAAAATATTAAAATTACAATAATAATATTTTAAAAAACACACACATACATATAAAAATTATTATAAAACACAATATTATTATTCTACTTTTTATTATCTATTGATTTACTTTGTAATGTGTTGTCTTGTGCATTTATTATATACCTTTCATCCTATAACAATTACCTTTGTTAATTGAATTTGTACTTAATTTGAAGTCTTAATTTATTTTTATCATTTTATTTTTACAAATATTAGTTAAATATAATTTATTTGTTAATAATTTAAATATTTAATAACTAATTTTAATATTATTTTATTTTATAAATTATCAATAAAACATCATAAGTAAATATAGTTTCATTACAATATAAAAATAATATAAATACATTAAAATGTTAGGAGTCCACTTATAATAATTATAAACTAATATGATACGATTGAACTTATGTGTAGTGTCATACTAACCCGCATACCATATATTAATACTAATCTTTAACAGATTGTGTGATCTATACAAGCCTAAACTTTTTAGCTCAGATATTTATATATTATACTTAATCTAACTAGATTACTTAATAACAAATCGTATCAAATATAATTCATATTGTTGAAATCGTATTGTGTCAAAGACTAACAACCCATTTGACACCTTTAGTCTAATCTTTAATTGGAGATGCAGCACGGTCAAAATGTCTCATCGTGCTGTATATTGATCATCCTAACATTAAAATAGCATGATTGCACCTTTGAATTATGCCTCATCACGATTGCTTTTAATTCCAAATAATGCTTAAATAAAGAGGGGCTATATCTAAAGCATTTTTGAACCAAAAGAAAGGTCAACTTAAAATGACTTTTTACTTAAAATGATTTTTAAAATTAAGGCAAATTTTACTACTATATTATGATTTAAAATTAGTTTTGTAATTATATTAATTTTATTGAATTTTAAAATATAATATGTATAGTTATATAATCTTTCATTTATAAATTACATATCTTTTATTAATTTTCACATAATTTAAGAAAAAAATTTAATTTTGATGTATATAATATTAATATTAAGTTTTTTATAAATTTGATGTTCGTCAAAATTTTTTTTAAAATCATAAAAAAAATAAATTGTAATGTAAAAGTACGTTAAAGGATAAAAAACCCTCGAATACAAATTTAATAATCATCTAAATTTTTATCATTTTATTATAATCAATTAGATTATCAAATATCTACTTTCATCAATTGAACCCTTATTAGATGAAATTGAAGTGAAAATTTATGTTTAATAAAAAAACTTAATTATGGTGAAAATAAATATTTAAGATTTAATTTGATGAAAATTGATATTTAAAGATTCAATTGAATGAAAAAAAATTAAGAACTTGATTAATTGTAATAAAATATCACAGATTTAAATAATTATTAAATTTTTGTTGGATTTTTTTATTGTTTTCCCTAAAAAAATAATTACAAAAGAAAAAAATAATTATTTAATAATTTTAATCCACCTCTTGGTATTTCAAAGTCCACAAAAGGGCCCAACTACCACACCCTAAATCCTTTCTTAGTACTGTCTCTCTTCAAGTTTTCCACCCCGCAGCGCAGCTTCAAAGACCCTAGCGCCGCATCCCCATCTCAACGGCAACATGGTGAATCTCCCTTCAACCTTCCCTCCTATACTTGACGTTAGACATTTCTAGCTATCAAGTTCACGTTATTTCGCTTTAAGGCTTTGTTTGTGTTTTTCTTGTTATGTTTAAACTGTAAAATCTGATTTGGGTTGTTGCATTTTTGTGTGATTTTAGGTTCTTCAAAACGATATTGATTTGTTGAATCCTCCAGCCGAGCTTGAGAAGAAGAAGCACAAGCTCAAGCGCCTCGTTCAATCTCCCAATTCCTTCTTCATGGTAATGTATACTACTAGTGTTTAACCTTTGTTTCTTTGTTTTCATATCATGATTTGTTGTGTATGGTGGATTAACTTGGTTCTGTTTTTTTCCATCTCCCTCTCAAAGGATGTTAAATGTCAAGGCTGCTTCAACATGTAAGCTTGCATTGGATTTTCGATTTATGATTTTAACTATTTAATTTTTTTCTGGGTATTTCATTTCTTAATTTCTGGGTTTATACTTGGTGTTTTTTTGTAGAACAACCGTATTTAGCCACTCTCAAACTGTGGTGGTGTGTGGTAACTGCCAGACAGTTCTATGCCAGCCTACTGGTGGTAGAGCTAGACTCACCGAAGGATGCTCTTTCAGAAGAAAGGGTGACTAAAGCTGATGGCTAATATTGGAAGAAGAGTTTTGTATGTTCCCATCATCGGTATCTTTTTTGTGTGTTAAATTGTCTTAATTTAGTAGCAGCATTAAGGATTTAGAAAGGCTATGTTATTTTTCTTAATGTAGTGGATGGTTTTTGTTTTAATGAATGTTTTGAATTGCATTTGATTGGTTTTCTGATCTTGATATAAATAAAAGTATCTTTGTTTGTTGTGGTTAAAATTTGCTCAAAGTTGTTTTGTAATGTTTTCTTAATTCCTTTTTTCTTGTTTTGGATAACTAACTCAAAAGTTGTTTTGACTACATGCTTTACATTAAAAAGGCTTTGAATTGGAATAACTAATCTTGATGTTGCATCCAAGCTGTAATCGATGTGGCTGGTTGTATGATTGATAGATAGTGAGGATGTAGGTTGGTGAAGAAAATAAAGTTAATAATTGAGTAGATTGCAACATTGTTTTAATTTCAATTCACATGCCATTCAACCGTGATACATTGCAACTGCATGTTATATGGTCATTAATGATATCTTGATACTTTTTTGAACCTTGTTTGTATTAGCCTTTTGATGTATGATACGAAGCATATTGAAGAAACTCCACTTATAAATTTATTTTATAATTCGTTTCAGCTGCAGTTTTTTTTTGCAATTGCTATGCCAGTAATAAAGGCTGCTTCTAATTTTCCTATACTATTAGTCCATGCTATTACAGAGCTGCTGAGTGTATTTTTACATTTTATATTATTCTGTTTGACTCCATTTAGTGAGATGACATGAGTTGTTGTAAGTAGGAGACTTCTAAATATAGCCTCAGATGTTTGATTTTGCAGAAAGGTAGTAGTAAACTGCATGCATGCGAGCCATGCTTGTTATGAGTTTTGCCAAGCATTGGTGTTATGCTATATGTTGATGTTTGATGTATGGGTTATATCCATACTTTTGACTTCATTTACAGTAACACCATTCGTAACCTTTTCTTTATTTAAAATTTTCTTCTTCTTCTTATAAGCTGTTGAAGCAAGCTTTAATGTTTCTGCTTATTGTACATTAGTTGCATAATCTTTGTTGGCACCATACCTATGATCAAAAGAGGGGACAGCTCTCCTAATCTTTGTTTGTACCAATAAATAAATAAATGATGGGCAAAACAGAGGTAAGCAAATCATGGTAAACTTGATTGTAATTTGCAAGTTTCAAATTCTATGATAGAACAAGGTATTTACCGTTTGGTGACTGCTCAAGAACACATCACCAGGATGCCATGGAGTGATGGTGGAGAGAGATGCTAAAGTTTGAATGCATCATTATTGATTGCAATGATCATTTACAGCCCAATCTCTACCTATTGATATACCCCCTATTTAACTTGCCCAATTGTTGCGGATTGACCTATAAATTAGTTGGCATGGTTTAAGTGGCATGATATTAGAGTTATCATTTAGAAGTTACGGATGCTAGAGAACTCGGGTGAAATATCCTCTGGAATCAGTTAAGTAGGTGGTTTTGTAGGATAAAAAGTTTAAGAGTAAATTAGAAACTTAAAAAAAAAAAAAAAACTTCCTCGACTGTCCAAGTCCGAGCTTCAATTATAGTCTCAGCTCCTGCAAAAGCAGAGTTTTATTTCCTTAGAAGTTTTGCTTAGGAGAAAAAAAAATTGGCAAACTCTTTTTCATTGCTGGAAAAGGGTATTTTCTACTAAGTTTGAATAATAAAAAAAAATCTAAATGTCGACCCAAAGAGGTTGGATTTTGCTAACAAGTTACGTGTAACTAGTGTCTTTAGGGTATTTAGTTAATATATTATTATATTTTTAAGCTTAGGTTTTTTGTAGAATATTTTTAATAATAATAATTTTGTATTAAATATAATAATTAATAATTTTATTTATGATTTTCAATATATTGTGTAAATCTGTGCATAAGCGGAACAAGTAATCGAGCTTTTGAGGTTGACTTTGGACATGAATTTCCAAATTTGGAGTCGATTTCGTACATGAAATATTTCTTTGTTAAATAATTTTTTTCTACGAAATTTTAGTTTAAATATATTTAAAAATATAAAAATATTTATATAATTAAAAAAAAAATTTTAAGCTTCCGCACAGATTTAATTGGGTTGGGTTGGGCTTTGAGTAAGCTTTTCAAAAGTTGAATTGGGTTTGGCTTAACTCTGTTCATAAATATTTTTAATTTTGAGTGTCGAAATTATTTTATATAAAAACCTAAAGGATATTTTGTTATCAAAATTGTTGTACTATTTTTTTTTTTTCTGTACAACTATTACTTTGATTGTATTTAAATATGGCATTTAAGTCAACCCCTAGTCTTTTTGCCTTTGTCTTGATTTTAGTATCCATATGGTATTATGGTACAAAGCAAGACACGAGTAGGGTGTTCCTTTTTTATTTTTAATTTTTAATTTTTAATTTCCTTTTGCCAATAGCATGCACTCATCTGTATTTTTAACCATATAAAATTGTATATAAGATTTTATTATTGCAAGTGGTAATTAGGGTACATTCTTTAAATTTTAATGGGATTAATTTATATAAAAAATCAAAATAAATAAGTTTTATTCAAGATAGAGATATTGCTGAACCAAGCATGGTGGCCTTAGATCGTGCTGTATTAAACTTGACATTTTAATACATAGGAAAAGATTGTATGCACATAATAATTAAATGAGTTAATGACACTTTTAGCATTTAAATTTTGAGAAAATATACAAATTGGTACCTAAAAAAAAATAAAATATATAATTTGCACCTTTAATTTTCAAATAATGTATTATTTTATTTTAAATTTTAATATTGTTAACTTAACTCACTTATATAGTATTTAACAAGTATAATTTTATTGTATGCATGCATTTGTTGAATAAAAATATTAAATATTTTGTAAAAAATAATTGATCGATGCTAGACATTTTTTATAATTTAAGTAAATTAAATATATATTTTTTAATTTATATTGAAAAAAATGTTGATAATATGTGTAACAATCACATAAGTTAATAATATTTATTAAATACCGTATATATACGATGATATGGTTAAGAGATTAGAGTTTTGGTTAATATTATATATGATTCGAAATTTTAGGATGCAAATTATTCATTATTTAAAAGTACAAGGTATAAAATTATATATTTTATTTTTTAAATATCACTTTGTACATTTTTTCAAAATTCAAATATAAAAAATATAATTAATTCTAACTAAATCATTTTACGAAAATGCATAAATCATTTCTCTATCTTGAATTGTTGAAAGAAAGAAAGAAATTACTCAATCTCTCAAGAGTTAGGCCATTGTGAATTATATTTTACTATTATTTTCTCTTCACAGAATTTAAACTTTAAACTGTAAATTTGAAATGTGTTTGAGTGCTTTTTTTTTTTTTTTTTAAAACAGAATATGATTGTGGGTCTATATGGTTAAATTTTCTTTTCATTTGAGTTAAAAAATTTTGAAAAATTATTTTAAGTTACATAAAATAAATTATCATTTTCTATTATATCAATAATATATATCTACCAATAAAAAACATTTGTTTACTTTTCATCTTTTATATATATGTTTATATTTGAAATTTATATTTGATGTATTATTAGTATATATATTCTATACATTATTAATGAATCAAATAATGCCACTTTATTAATAATTAAATATTAGCCCTTAAAATAAATTTACAAAAAATTAATAATTTTTTAAAAACTTACTTGTAAATAAGGTGATATCATCATATTCATCTCATTAATAAGATATTATCATTTAATTTATAGACAATGTATAAAATTAACAGTGCATCAAATATAAACATTTTCTTTTGTTTAAAAGTTCTTATAATATATTTGATACATAAGATTATGATAGGATATGATAAAATGATATTATGAATAGGATTAGATTAAATAATATCATCATATCTTGTGTTTAATTGTGCGAAGATTAAGATATAGAATAATTTATTTATTAATCAAAATTATCCTTCCTCAAAGTTTATGCAATTTAAATTATTAATGTAATTTCTAAAGGTATAATAAAACACGTATATTCAATCCTATAGATTAAAAATTATTCTCTTCACCTTGGGAGTATTGAATTATTCTATACCACGAGGATGATTTATCTTCCTTGTAATCCTATCACTTTCTTTAGATACAAACCAAACATAATATAATAATAATTATCATCTTATTCTATTCATCTTATATACTAAATATGACCTTAAATTTTTAACATTCATAAGTGTCCGTCCGAAACTATGAAGGGTTTCAAGAGTACTCAAAAGCAACAACTTTTTTTCATTGTCTTTTATTTCTTTTTGTTCTTTAAAGGAAACTAAAGTCCATTCATTGTTGTTAAGATTTCTAAGTTTATGTTAATGCTTTGTTTTTCTTTGCTTAATTATCACAAACTTCAATTCTCGATAGACAGTAACTATTTTACTTACATACTTTAGAATGTTTGATTCAATGTCAAAATTTTATGTTGCTTGATTATTTTTTATTGTGTTTCTTCTCTTTTTGCTTCTTGATCTTTATATAAGGATTGAATCTCCTTTTAATTTAAAAAATTTTAATGTCAATTGAATCTATCAAAATTTTACTTTTTTTTTTCGTAAAAATTTGATTGTCAAGAATTACCAAAATTAAACTCAATATTTGAATTTTAAATCTGAAAAAATCACAATCTTTAAAAAAATCAAAATTTATGCTTTTTTACCAAAAATAAAAATAAAAAATACTTTTGAACCTTTAAATTTGGGTTTTAAAATAACTTTTAAAACCCAATATCAAAATGTAATTCAAGATCCAATAGTATATATACATATAAAAAACTCTTGACGAAATTAGGTATTTACAATGTACTTATTAATATTGTTGTTATTTTAACTTTTACAATAAAATATATAAAATTTTAACTTTTAGAACAAAAGAGATAAAAAGGTTTGACAACAACCACCGATTTATTGATAGAATATTAAAATTTTAATTTTAATTCAAATTTTGATAATTTTAAATATAAAAAAAGATAAAATTTTTAATTTTCATTTTTTTCAAAACTTCATTGTTGAAAAAAATATATACAAATCATTATCACTCTTTACACTTACTTTGATATTGAGATCAATCGACAATGATAACATTGTGAAGGTAATAAAGTTAGTTAAGTTGATAAAAATAAAATAATTAATTTGTAAAACATAAATTCAATTTTCACTATCAACAATCTTTCTTACAAATACTTGTTGACACCTATAATATGTCTTGCTCTTACAATTATAAACATCTTATTTTGTCTGAAATTTTTTTAAAATTCATTGAACTTCGAATTTTAATTTTAATTGTGCAATTGAACTTTAATTAGAAAAGTGAATGTTGGATCCAAATATTAAGCTCTAAATTTTATTTAT